ACAATGTATCAACTGAAAGTATCCAATACTAAGCATGTTCTCTTAATTTTCTGAATGAAAAATGTGAGATTTTATGCATCACACCTACTTTAGTAGTTACAATTATTTTAAGATGAATCATTTCTCTTGCACTTCTGGAACTCGTGGGTGCTATAGCACCTCGTTAAAGCAGTAAATTCATTTTTTACTCTCCCATTTTTCAATACATTACCTTTAGGATGGGCTTTAAATTTCTTGGATCCATTTATTGGAAGCTTCGGTAAAAGAGTATATATATCACTGTCATCACTAACATTTAAATGATTTAGTAGCTTGCTTATAAAATTTAGTCACGAATGAGACCAGTGATCCAACATTTTTTATTCCATAACACTAAGATTCTTGCCACATAATTATCCCTCAATCCTATTTAAATTTTTTTGACACAGCATACTTAAAATGGGGAATTATCGCCAGCTCTTAGCCTCTTTAGATAATTAACCTAATCAGTATATCAATTAAATGGTTATCTTCATTTTATAAAGGGAAATGCAATCCTCTGTTTACATAAACTTTGTGTTATTTATCAGAACTATGTTATATAAAATATTAATAATACCTTAGCCAGCATTGTTAGGATTGGATATACAAACTGGTTTCAAAATCCATTGAATAGGTTATTGAACTCAAGCTTTTGAATTTTGTATAATAATTCCTCCATTTTTTCTATCAGTAATGACTTATAGGACTTCAATTATTTACTGTAATCTAAAAGAATCATTCTTGTGCAATACTTGATAAAGCGCTTGTCCTATTCCGATTTTCGTTTTAGTTGGTTAGTATAATTTGTCAATGTATTCCTTAAAATGAGTTTTAGCAGAACTTCTCGATAGCTGATCGAGATCCTTATTAGGTAAACCAGGTTACTTAAAACGCCTGCCAATAAAAAAATCTGAGAAAAAAAATGTTAGAAATATATATTTTTATAATCGGTTTGTACTCACTTGTCGAGAGGGAATCATAACAAATTTAGGAATCATGCGCATTTCGTAAAAATAAAATAGAAATGGCTTTCGTAAACATCCTGAAATAATTTTTTTGATTTAAATTCAATTTCGTGTCAGAGTGTATGTTGAAGAAATGCATAGCTCGAGCCCAACAGAATACGACGGTGGATTCCAGTGGCTCTTCAGTACTTTGAAATTAATTATCAGGTATTTTTCGTAAAATGTTAGTCACCACAACAACTTTATTAAGGCAGATACATCAAGACAAACTTACAGTTTGTATATACAATAAAAAACTAGTTGAAACTGATGCGCTTCCACATAAACCAGCCACTAGACGGAATCGAATAAAAAATACAAACCTACGATAAAAGTCAGGTAGAAATATTTAATCATGATAGTAATCACTAGGCTTGCCCAGCAAAAAGTATTCTCGCCCTGGACAAGATCATAACGGAAGTTCACTCTGAAAAAGCCAATGTTGGACGCATTTTACATTTAAATGCTTTGGTTACATTATATGTTCATCTACATTTATCAAATAAAAGCTAATTATCAGAGTCTGAAATACCAGTCGACTCATTGTACTTCCATACTCTCCAATTCCTATCCCCTCAAGGGGCTTATAACCCAAAATAATCTTGGAGCTGATGAACTCTTGGCGTCAAATAAGCCAAGAACGTATTCACACTGATGAAGTTAGCCATATTGAGCAAGATACCATAAAATTTCCTCTCGAACAAATAAGGCCAAGCGAAATTCGATGAAAAATTAATTCTTTTCTACAATTAATTGTCGACAAAGTGGTTAGCAGTCACCTAAGAAACTAGCTAAGACTGGTACATCTCGACAACAACTCGGCTACAGACTGTCTCGAAAAAAAACTCTAGCCTACAATAAAAAGGAAGGTAGACAAGTCTCCTAACTCGTATTGTATCCCTTCCGCATGAGGGTGGTCGAAAAAGGAATTCATGAACCAGTTTTTTCAAAGCACGATGGACTATGGTCCTTTAGCCACTCCGATGCGCATGTGTTCGTGTCGGAGCTGTTTGTGCACCGTCTTCGGCTCTGATGAATACGTGCTCTCCCGACGCATCTGCTCTCTGTCGAGGAAATAGCGTCTTTCCTGAGCTCACGATTGCGAAGCAATTTCGCCTTATTTTGGCCGGATCAACCATTAAATCTCGCCCGAGCCTGCCTCCGAGACGATTATCCAGACTCAACAGATTAATCATAATCACACTCGTGCATGTGACAAGCAGAGGTATCAGGGACACCAACTGCAACTAGACCTGCTTGATGCTTTTTATGGGGAAATCCCCTGAACGTCTTCGCTCTTCTG